TTTGACAGCCTCATTGAATCTTTCTACTTTCGGTGATGTGAGCAGGATCATATAGGCCTTATATTTAAATGTCAAAGGTTGCGCATCAATTAAAAGGAAGTTATTAGGGTTATCCAGCGTCTTGCGAAACAGGCTAATATCTCCTTCTTGCACATTACCGTCAGGTGAGAATTTATGACAAATTTTTTCGTTGCATTGCCAGACTATTATAGCCTCAGGGTAATTGTAGCGAATGTAAAAGAGGAGATATAGACCGAAATATGTCTTTCCGATACCAGGAGTACCAGTAATCGTGCAACCAGTAGAGGCTGGGCCATCTCGTCCGCGTTTCTTTTTAATTAATTCGATTAACTGCAAATAGCAGTTCCGTATGAGAAGCCTCGACCCATTATCCTTATCTCCCAGAAAGAACACACCATCCGGTAGACACAGCATTCCTCCGAAGCTATCGATCAGAATTGACGGCAATCGCACGTCGGTACATTCTCTATTTTTGTATAGTATGCCATCTGAATCGATAATCACACCTTTATCTAGGCAAATCTGATTATCTTTTATCGTAAAGTAAGAATCCAGAGCATTTAATTCAACCCTCTTCATATCTTGTGGTATCGGGAAGATTATTCTTGCGTCAAGAAGTTTTTTCCAAAATTCGACCACACCAGATCCAGCTGTTTGATTAATACAATGGAAAAAATAAAGGGATAGTTAGTCATTTCCATTATTTCTTCAACGCAAGAATATAACGCCTTTAATGAGTATGGCAATATAAATTAACAAACCTTGGAGCTTTTGCTCTATATAACAGGAATAAACGTATGAGACCCAAGTTAATAAATGAAATTATTGCGGAGAAAGCAGTATAGGTTTGGAATATGAGTCAGAGACTCGACACTTTGTGTCTTCGAATGCAGTCGTGGTACTACTTACCCTGGTCCTCGCCCTTAATTCTTTCAATTAATTTCGAGATTTTTTCAGCTGGTCCTCGTTTTAAACCATCTTGCATTAGTTTATCCACGTTCATCCTGAGGAACATTTCGCCATCAACTTTTTGTTCACGAAGAATTTTGAAATCATCATCATCCAGTCCTATATTTTGATCGTCTAAAAATTTTATCAGAGCCTTCGTTGTCTTATATCCTTCAACTTCATTGATTGTAGGAAATGAAATTATTTTTCCGGTAGAAGTAGACATATTCACGAATTTAGTTTTTGGATAGGACGAAAAATTTTTTAGTAAGAAATAGTCGTATATTCTACCTTTTTATAGTTTATACAAACAATCAGATTGTCGTACAATAGGTCACGTATTGTTACACGATAAATGACAATACCGATATTGTATTTTTCCAGAATTCGAATAAAAAAAATTCTGCGTGCGGGACCGTGATTTATTTAAAATATTTATGTTACGGGATTTGTTTATTGTTATTCAAGCGTATGGAAAATTAAAAAACTATTCCTGAAGAGGTGTGACATCGATGTCACAGTAAGGTATCATTATATCATTCAGCATTGATCGTCACGTAAGTTCGTGACGGAAATTTATTTTTATTTAATGATTCGAGGATACAATAGATGAGTTAGGAACTTGAAACTACTGTATTATGAAATAGTGAAGCTTTCACTTATCGTTTCTTTCCTTAAAAAATTTTCACATTCACATCGCTTATATATTCCATCCGCTACTTTTTTGCAAGTTTTGCAATATAGATGTGAATGGTGATTGCATTCGTCACAAACCCTACACCCATGCTTCCAGCCTCTAAAGATATGCCACTTTTCAAAGTAAATTTGTTTTTCTTTCATTGTTATATATTAACAGAAAAAAAAATCTATACGTGGCTAAAATTTTTTATTATACAAACCCGTAATGTGTGGCACTTTGTGGTCCAGAGTGAATTCTCCACAATAGAGTTAATTGACCGACTTTGGTTAGTGTTTTAATTTCAGCCGGGGCGCCCTGGTCGAAAAATGAAAAATGACACTTTGAGATTGTGACCCATCTCACAAATTAGTTATGCATAACAATAACATCATGAAATATAACCAAGTATTTGTTAAGTACTTAGTAAGTAGTTTCTAAGCACTTAATCAGTATTTATTAAGTATAAGGTAGGTTGAAATGCAATTATAAATGTTTACTTCAAATGCTTAATAAGTACTTAAAAATCAAGTATTTAATAAATATTAAAATTAAATATTAATTAAGCAATTAAAATTTAAATTGCTTTAATAATATTAAATATAAGTACTTCTTTTGTATTGGTATTTAATTGATATAAGCTTCTGTTTGGTTCAACTTTCTGATGAAGCCTTGTAAGGTGATACAGATAAATTTCATATGCAGAATTATTCTAACACATCAGCATATTAATGATGAATAATTTTACAGCAAGATAACTATGGGATTTTTTTATATTATAGAATACAACAGATACTAATAACTACGGGATAACTATGGGAAAACTGTGGGATAACTGTAAGATTTTTTTAATTAACAGTAAGACAATAAGACTTTACGTACAAATTGTTAACCCCGATTTATTTTTATTTAACGTTAATTATTCTGATCTTTCATCGTTATATTAACAGAAAAATATACGTAGCTAAAAATTTTTATTATACAAACCTGTGTGGTACTTGTGTTGTAACCCATTTACAAACAAATTATGCCTCAAGGAATTTCTATGATACGTTATCAGATTGAACGAAAGTGATTTTTTTTACGTACTATGCATACTTAGATAATTTTATTCTATAACAAATACAGTTATAGGTAATACAAAAATCATGGAGAAAGAGTGTGAACCGAGTTCACAGTATCATGTGACTTGTGGCGCAGTAAAATCGAAATATAAAATTCTGATGACTACATGAAATCACCATTACTGCTTATTTTTTATAACCTCAACTACTATGTTCAATGTTATCTTTGCTTAGTTTTGAAATTGTTGAAGCAGAAATACTTACTCGTTGTATCAATTGCTCAATCATGTTATCATTCCCACCAATACTATTAAAAAGTTTATAAATTTTTCGAGCTTTTTCTGTATTTTTTCTGTGTTGTCTTAGTAACTTTTTGTGAAAGTTGATTCCTAACTTTATCATTAATGAACATCTTAGCAGTTTGTTTCGGATGAAAAGTTTTATAATAATTTATTCGATTTTTATGTGCTTTTCCAAAATTATAATAGCTCCTAATAACCTCTTGATTCTTTTTTTTATTCTGATTTTCAGCATTAACAATTTTAATATACAAGTCAAGAAAATTAATCGAGTTTGTGCTTATTTCAGAGGCTGATTCTGTTTGAGTAATAGTTTTTACTGGATTCTTAGAAGATAATTCTTTTATAAGCTCTTTCAATACATGTAATTCTTTCTTAGCCTGCTTCATTTTCTTATTAGGTGATTTATCTGATGAGGTAGGTTTACTAACATGTTTTTTAGATAGGGTAGAGTTGGATGGATCTTCTCGAGACGTATCTATATCCATTGAATTATCAGGTGGATTTCTAGGAGAATCGAATCCAAGATTACTTTTACCCAAAAGATTTATTAGATCTGAGATCCCACTAGATTGAGACGACTCATATTCTTTTTGTACAGAAACTGCTGGCTCGACAGATTTATTGCAACTAGAAATAGAGCATACATTCAAATCCATAAGTAAAATTTTTTTCTCAATACAATATCTATAGTATATGTGTCCACATGCGAGGATTGTGAATAGTTCATAATTAAGTGAAAGAATTTTTTTATCACATTCTGAACACGGTGCTAGTTCTGTAATATTAATATCTTGGACTGTGATATGATTAGTTTCTTTTAAAATATTCAAGGCAAGATTTTGAAGATTATAATTTATTAATATACCAGATAAGTTTTTCATATCAAAAAAAATCCTTATACTTAGCTTATTTTTATAGTTTATTCTTTACGACTAACAAACCTAATTTGTAGATTTTAAAAAGACTAATTTCGGGTTTGGTGATTTGTTCATTTAAGAATTATTTAGTATGAACCAAAGACCGACTGATTTACTAGCAATTGTGAATGATTTACAAATTAGCAAATTATTAACCGAATAAAAATAGCAATGACAATTTAATCAATATGATTCTGGTGAAGAAATAGATTAGTAAGTTTTTTATATTTTTTTATATGATTCAAACACGAATTAAACCAATATACTTATCTGTTTATATATGTTAATATGTGTCAGAGATACTAGCTTCGCTATAAAGCTCGATAATTAATTTTACTCTTTACTTTACGCTTTAGAATAGGGCGTTTCTTTACCGCTTCAGTGGAAGAAGCTCAAGTAAATTCGATACATGCATTTTTATATATTTAATATTATATTTTTTGTGGCGTATTAATAAAAACTAAGTTAAATCCAATAGTTAAAAATAGCTGTGAAACAGTTGCTTCCGGCAATAATACCTCAAAAATAATATCTATATTTGCTAAACAAGTATCACGTAGAATGATTTCGATTTCTCTTTGCCAATTACTGAAGATAGTAACACCTGAAATTCAGCAAGAAATTATTAACTCAATAGCAAACCCGGATATTCCTAAAAAACGTATTCTATATGGGGTCAAAAAAAAGTACAAAGCTAGAAAAAAACTAATTTTTAATAATACCGCATCTAAGTCCTCATTTATATCTGAGTCTGGCTCTGACTCTGAATCCGATATTGAGATTAGTGAATATGTATCAAAAGTAAAGAAGTGTAATTAATTTTGATTATAAAGACGAAACAGTCTTGCTTGATCAGGAGATTGTCCCTTCCTGCAATAATTCACTACAACGTAATTTTGCACAGGAGAAGTATGATTATCAGATAAATGACGTAGACATTTTCTAGCAATTGTATAAGCGTGGGCCATATTCTTAGCCTCATGTGCTACTGCACTATAAACTGCTCCTAATTTACGTAAATATTTAGGAATTAAATTATAATCTTTTAAGAATTTATTGAACCATTTAACTCCTGGCTTACCTGGATCACCCA